CACACACACACACATATTTACACACACACACACACATTCAAGGCCAAATAATATTTTAACATCAATTCAAAAATATCCCCAAACTGAACATTAAATCTGTTTTAGATAGATCTGTGAATATTGACACTACTTTACTAATTAGTACTTACTTTCTTGAAAAACWTTCGTATATCTACTTTTCACTGAGCATCCTCCTGGTCTGCTCACTGAGACTTCATGCTACACTTAGCTTTAGCTAGCTCTGTGTGTAAACTTGCTAGCATGCTGCTAAAGTTGCAGGAAAAACGTGGACTGGATTTGATGAGAAGTGGAGCGGACCAAAGAGGATCTCATATCACACTGTACATTAAAGGGAATCTGACAGATTTATGATCATATATTTATTTAATAATGAAATATTAAATGGTTATTTATTCTGACCACATCATATTGAATTTTTATTTAAAAAAAATTAAAAATAATTTTTTTACACCAAAATAATTTAGGGGGGCTTTAAAATATTTTAGGGGGCTCCAGCCCCCCTAAAATAGGCCTAGTGACGCCACTGATGCACAGGCTAACGTCTGTAAACATCATTATAAATCAGTAAATCTCCAGATGAGCAGTCAAAGCTTCATGGTTCTGGTTCTGTCTGCAGAAACCCGTCATCCCGGGTCCTCCCTTCCTGTTCGGTGCGTGCGCCGTCCTCCTGGCCGTGTCCGTGGCCGTCTTCATCCCGGAGCACCGTCGACCGGCCGACACCAAGACCTGCTTCTCCCCCGGCGGCGCCGGCGCCTCCAACGCCCTGGCTCAGAACCCTCTGACCACGCCCACCAGCGACCCGGAGGACATCGAGCCGCTCCTGCAGGACACCAGCATGTGACGACCCTCAGCCAATCAGAGCGCAGCGTTCTGTTAGGACTTCCTGCTCCGGTTTTCAGCAACTTCCTGAGGTGTGTGGAGCAGGTGAAACCAAAGGGCTTTGGACTCTCTGAGGTGTCGAACACAAAAACTGCTGAGTCGTGACTGAAGTTTGGGATTATTTATTTAACAAGACGTTTCACCTGCTGCCTGTTGTCACTAAAGAACTCTGACCTTTAACCCCCAGCACCGTTACAGGTCCGGTCCCAGCAGAACCCTGCAGAACCACTGGCTCAGAGGGATTTGGCTGCCATCTTGCTAGGTGCCACGTGTCACGCTGAGACCAAACAAAACCTGAAAAGTTAAAATTATTTCTGACTTAATGTGACCCAAAATGTTGTTTTATTAAAGTTCTGGTTCTGATGGTTAAAACCAGGTTCTGTTAGGAATAAAGAACACTCACGCTGTTTACATGTAGCTCCTCACAAGATGGCGGCACTGATTCACCCCGGGTCACTCCATCCAGAACCTCTCCTGTTCAGTGGGTCAAACAGAACCGGACCAAGCCGCTCGGGGTTCTGGGACAGATTTCACGTCGGCCATGTTTGTTTTTCTGTTTGATTGACAGCAGAATGTTTTCAGCCATTGGTGCTTTTTATGTTTATTTTATCTGACGTGATGACATCATCTGTTAGTTTTTATGTTTATTTTATCTGACGTGATGACATCATCTGTTAGTTTTTACAGCTCTGAGGCTCCAACATTCCTGCTGCAGAGATTTATTTACCTCTGTGTTCCAAAGCCTCTCAGCCTGTTTGTTTGTTTATTGTTTGTCTGTTTGTTTTTTGTTTGTTTTTTTGTTTGTTTGCTTGCCTGTTTGTATGTTTGTTTGTGAAAGCAGTCGGTGCTGTTTTTTTTATTTATTTTTTATTATTTCTGTTACTTCCACATCAGTTTACTGCGTCAGACCAAATCATCCCTGCAGAAGCTTCGGAGTCGGTCCCTGTTGCCACGGTTACAGCTGGAGGATGCTGTCACCGTGGTAACGGCTCTCCTCCGCAGATCAAAAGGGCGAACAGTTCGGTTCGGGTCCCATAAGAACCGAGCAGAACCTTTTTAATCAGACGATGTCGGGTCGTATTTAAGGCGACTGAGGAAGTTGATGGTGCAGCTTCATCTTGGGTCTGTTCCCTCCTCAGAACCAGAACCTGCTCTGGTTCTGGTTTTAATCCTGATGGTTTTATTTTCAGATTGGACCGTTTTCATCATATCTGACAGAGAATTTGTTACTGCTGTTTAAGAAGCTGCAGACGGTCTCATTTCAGAGACTCGAGTCAGAAAAGGTCCAGACTTGTTTAGTGTGATGAGCAGCAGCAGCAGGTTGGACTGAAGGAGCTTTAGTTTAGCTGCTGGTTTCCATGACGACAAGCACTTTATTTCCTCTCGACGTGCCTCTTTTCATCTGTTTTTACTGATGCAGAACGACGTCAGTTTGACTCCGTTTGAGCTGAAAAACAGATTTTTGAATATTATCTGAGATAACAATAAACTCAAATATATGAATTTTAAACAGCTTCTGGTTTGTTTGTTTAAATCTTCTTAAATGTGATTCACTGGAAATCCAGTTTTTCTGTTTTGTTTCTGATATTTAAAGGGATCCATTAGTTGTAACAGACTTTATTTAATAAACATATTTTAACTGTAAAATAAAGACTGTAAAAATACTGTAGGATGTTTAGTGTTATACATTTTTAAAAATATATTTTAACACAGACGGGGCCATTTTATTTCCACACAAAGCATTCTGGGTAAATGATGACGTGGATAGGTCCTCGGTGCGAGGCTGCTAGCGAGCTATATCCACCCTGAAGGTTAATCTTGGACAATATCTGATGATCGACTCTTTTAAATGAAACCAGAGAGCGTTGACAGAGAGGAGAAGGTAGAAATGACTCAGCCTGGAACTGAAAATATGGATGGAGGACAACAGAGCTGCTTCATGGAAGAACAACCTCAGATTAGCCTGTTAGCTTTAGCGTTAGCCCCGATGCTATCACCATATATATGTATTAGCTCAGCGCTACACATTCTCCTCTCGTCACTGAGGTCCTCCATCCACATGACAGAGAGGGGAACACAGAAATGACTCAGCCTGGAACTGAAAATATGGATGGAGGACAACAGGTTAGCTTGTTTGTCGCGCTAGCGCGACAAACAAGCTAACCTGTTGTCCTCCATCCACATGACAGAGAGAGGAACACAAAAATGACTCAGCTGTAACTGAAAATATGGATGGAGGACAACCTGTTGTCCTCCATCCATATTTTCAGTTCCAGGCTGAGTCATTTCTACCTTCTCCTCTCTGTCAACGCTCTCTGGTTTCATTTAAAAGAGTCGATCATCAGATATTGTCCAAGATTAACCTTCAGGGTGGATATAGCTCGCTAGCAGCCTCGCACCGAGGACCTATCCACGTCATCATTTACCCAGAATGCTTTGTGTGCAAATAAAATGGCTCCGTCCGTGTAATATATATATTTTTAAACTTTTAGTTTAAAAAAGTACAAAACTAAACATCCTACAGTATTTTTACAGTCTTTATTTTACAGTTAAAATATATGTTTATTAAATAAAGTCTAATGTTACAACTAATCAAGGATCCCTTTAAAGTTCTGTCTCTGTTCCCACTGAAGCTGAAAACTGATCCTGTTTAAATGATCTGTTCTCACCATGACACTGCCACCACCGTGCTTTACTCATCTGATGTTAAATATTTTAGTTTGACAGACTCAAAAAAAACTGCAACTTGTTTTATTTTTGGCCAAATTTCAGCCACTTTAAGCTTTTATTTTTTGTTTAGTTATCTTGAAAATCAAAACATGAAGAAAAAAACAGGAAAAACTCAGAACTTCTGAACATGATGAAAGGTTTTATTCAGTTTTTGGAGAAACTTCACTAAATATGACACGTTTTACACATTTTATTACAGAAATAACTTTTTTAAAACCTCAGTCAAAACTTCTGTACAGAAAATTAAAAAAAAACTAAAACTATTTACACAAAAGTTAATAAAAGTTTAAATCAAATCAGATTATTTCCTATATTTGGTCACAAAACACAGCAGGTAAATTCAGTTAATCCTAAATTAATCTGTAAATAAAACCTGATATTCTGAAAGTCGGCTTCTTGTTGGGATTTTAATCGATATATTTTTAACAGGTTTTGTTTTCTACTTTCTTTTCATCCCAGATAAGTTTTTAACGAACCTTCATGCAGTTAGCCACTGTTAGCATGTTAGCGTGTCTTCTTTCAAACAAACTTCCTGCAGCTTTATTCTGAAAGTGCTCCATGCCACCACACAGCGTCAGGCCTTCCTCTTCCTCCTCTTCCTCACAGCAGGCAGGAGATGGACACCTTGGTGGTGGAGAAGGGGACGGTGTCTGGTTTGGGACAAATGAAAAATGAGCTGTAAATATTTAGGAGCTGCTCGTTGTTCTCAGAGTCTCACCTCTGTCCTTCAGCGAGCTGATGTACGCCTCCATGAACTCCTTCTCTCTGCTGTCCTTCACCTCCTCCTCCTGCTCCCTCCACCTTCTTCTCCTCTCCTTCCTTTTCTTCTCCTCCTCCTTTTTCTTCCTCCTCTTCCTTTCACTGGACGAGTTGTCGTACAGACGGATAAACCTGTGGGGACATCGGGAGCCGTGAGAAGGGTCCAGTAAACGCCTGGGCGGCCCTCAGGGTTCTGTGTTTGTGTACTTGATGTCTGGGCTGCTGCACAGTTTGGTGGGAACGCAGGTGAGCTCGTCGCCGCTGACCACCACCATCTTCAGGGTGGAGATGTTGGTGAGGCACAGGGGAAGGTAAGAGAAGTTGTTCTTGTGGACGTACAAGGTGACGAGCTGCTCCAGCCTGAAGACAGGAGCATCTCATTTACACTACAGGTGAAGCTAAAAGAACACCTGCTCTGTGTGGTGATGACATCATCTGCTACCTGTCCATGTCCTGTGGCAGGTCGCTCAGTTGGTTGTTGCTCAGATCCAGAAGCTGCAGGCTGGTCATCCTCAAGGCACAGATGGGGATGGAGATGAACCTGTTCTCCGCTATGTCCAGGTGGACCAGCTGCTTCAGGCTGCTGAGCTGGAGAAGAGGTATACAATGACATCATCAGCATGTAGCATAATGACATCAACATTATATAATGACATCATCAGCATGTAGCGTAATGACATAATCAGCATATTATACAATGACATCATCAACAGGTGACACAATTACATCAACATGCTATACAATGACATCAGCATGTAGCATAATGACATCATTATACAATGACATCAACAATATATAATGACACCATCAGCATGTAGTGTAATGACATCAACATATACAATGACATCATCAGCATGTAGCGTAATGACATCATCAGCATATATAATGACATCATCAGCATATGGCATGATGTCAACAGGTTATACAATGACATCAACATATACAATGACATCATCAGCATGTAGTGTAATGACATCATCAGCAAATACAATGACATCAGCATATACAATGACATCATCAGCATGTGTCGTGATGACATCAACATGTTATACTATGACATCAACATGTAGCACAATGACATCAACATGACTCAATTACATCACTGACATGTTACACACTACCATCAACGTGATTCAATGACATCATGTTTCATAAAGACAACTGACATATTTAACAATGACATCATGTTATGCACTGTCATGACGTGATGCAATGACATCAACAGGTTTGACAATGACATCGAAGGGACGCAATGACATTGACATTTCATGTGACAAACATGTTTCACAATATCATCAACGTCTTCATGTAACAGTGACATCAACAGGAGAAGTAATGATATTTTCAACAGATTACACAATAACAGCTTGTTGTACAATGACATCATCAGTGAGTGATGTAATGGCAACTTGTGTCTGTGTCTCAATTCATGGGTTTCAGCCGAGGTCGGCCACATTTGTTGTCCACTTACGTCACTGCGCTGCGCCGTAGACTGTTGGCGCCTACACATTTGGCCGACCTAACCCAGAAAACATCGGCTGCATAAACTGTAAGTGTCCTACGCAGCTGATGGTATCCCAGAATTCATTGCGCCATCAGGAAGACAGTTAAGTTTTTTTTACAGCATTTTTTTAAAATGACAGATTTTGGAATTTTACCACAGACTGAAGAATGTAACAACTCAGCTGAAGAAACTTTTGTTACAATAAGATGTTAAATAAAATGCAGTGACATCAGGTTCTACAATGACATCATCGACATCTTGACCCTACACTCTCTGCCCTAAAGGACTGTTTGGGTTCAGTCCCATTCTGAAAACCTGAACATGGACCGGTTCCCCTCAGAACCTGCCTCACCTCAAAGGGCAGCTCGGACAGGTTGTGGTTTCCTGCCAGTTCCAGTCTCTCCAGCTTCTGGCAGTCCCCGAGCTCTGGAGGAACTCTGGACAGACGGTTGTAGCTGATGTTCAGCGTCCTCAGCTCCGTCAGCTTACCTGAAGACACAGGTACGTTGGTTAGAAGCTTCCATCAAACTGTTTCCTCTGATGGAAGGCTGGATGGCACAGAACCAGGTTAGAGCTTGAAGCAGTCGGGTCATAACTGGTTCAGGTTCTGGGGGGTTTAACTGAGTCTCACCAATCTCTGGTGGCAGCTCGATGATGGCGTTCTTTGGAACCTCGAGGACGGTGAGCTGAGTGAACAGGGTCAGGTAGTCTGGGAGCTGGCGGATCCTCGTCCCCCTGATGTGCCACTCCTGCAGGTAGGTCCTCCACTGCAGCTCCCGGGGGAAGTCCTGCAGGACGGACGTTTGAAAACACAGACATGATGGAGTTGGTTAAACCTGTTTACCTACCAGCCAACGATCCCCGTCCAGTCTGAGGATCAGTTGGTTCTGGTCTGGATCTTTCTCATCCTGCTGGGCTTCCTGATCCTGATCCTGATCCTGGTTCTGGTCTCCTAACAAGAACAGAAACCCAAAGTACTCATCAGGTACACAAATACAGGATAAATATTTATGTTTTACGGTATATTTACTGGTGTACTGATGTATGATGAGTATATTTACCTGTGTACTGATGTATGATGGGTATATTTACCTGTGTACTGATGTATGATGGGTATATTTACCTGTGTACTGATGTATGATGGGTATATTTACCTGTGTACTGATGTACATCAGTTTTATGAGACTGTAAATCCTTCAGAGTGGATCTCTCCAGGTAATGGTGCAGCTGGTTCAGTTCTTTGGTCTTCAGGGTCTTGCAGTAGATCCGGTACTGCCACTCCTGATCAATCCTGTGCAGACAGACGATGAGTCAGCAGAATTTTAAATGGATTCTCTTGTTTCTTCTCTACAAATGAGACCTTTCTGCTGTTTGGAGGTGTGGCTCCGACCTCCAGGGATATAAATAACACGACATGTGTTCATCATACTAAATATCACTGTGTGTGTGTGTGTGTGTGTGTGTGTGTGTGTGTGTGTGTGTG